CTCCGCCGCCGCCGTAGGAGCGGGCCCGGGGGCGCGGCGCAGGGTCCGCGAGGAAGAGCGACTCCTTGCGGCGCGTGTGCGGGCTCTCGAGCAGCGCGCAGAAGCCGTAGGCGGTGCGGGCGCGGGGCAGGTGCGGCAGCGAGAGCGCCGCCTGCGAGCGCGGGTCCCAGTCGGTCGCGCGCGGCCACAGGTCTGGTTCGGCGGCGCAGCGGCGCGGCAGGACTCCGGCGGGCGGCGGGAGCTCCGGCAGGCCGGGTGAGGGCAGCCGCGGCGGAATGCAGAACTCGGGGATGCGACCCGGGGTGAGCACGTTGGAGCAGGCGGGCTCTGGAGCCGAGGAGCGCAGCTTCCCGAGCAGCCGCATCCTCGAAGGCCGGGCCGACAGCGGCGAGGGGACGAGCTCCTGCAGGGAGAGAAACAGCTGGGTCTGGGTGCCCGGAGCTGCTGGGTATCCCTCGCGCCCACCCGCGCGCCCACTCTGCCTTCCACTGGCTGATGCTCGAGGCGCGAATAAACAGAATGCAGACCTTGCCCTCTTCTTCGAGCCCTCTGGTCTGGTTTCGAGCTCAGAGCCGGAGACCTCCGGGTGGCAGCTGGGGCGCCGGCTTCAGCACTGCAATAGGGACAGCGGTGCTGCTCTCTTATACCCGCGCTGGGTCCCGCCTCCCAGCAGGCCTGGGCCTCCCTCGCCGGCCGCCCCACATTGGCTGCTCAGGTCTGAGCAAAGTTGTCGCAGGCGTCCTGGGACCTAATTGTGCTGTGGCCGCGGGGAGCGCCTTATCCAAGCCGGAGGAAAGCTGCAGGGGAAGAGAGGGCGCCCTGCTGGCAGCTGAAAACTTGTGTGTGGCCTCGTGGAGAAAGTGAAGCAGGATGCGGAAGCCGGAAGTTCCATTTGGCTAGGAGACAAGCCTGTCACCCACCCTTTCTGTGACCTGCAGGTCCTGGGGCTTCCTTTCTTGCCCCCACGCACTCACCTTGTGCAGACAGGAAGGTACCAGTTTCCAACTACAGATGCTTCTGGACTTACAATGATGGGGTTACATCTGGATTGAAAATTTTATTAAGTCGAGAATACCCTAGCCTACCTTAAACGTGTTTAGAATACATCAATCAACCTGTAGCTGGACAAAATCATCTGATGTAAAGCCTATTTTATAATAAAGTGTTAAATAGCTCGTATCTCATTGAATACTGTACTGAAAATGAAAAACAGAATAGTTGTATGGGTACATTTTGATTTTGTTTGTTTTTTGACACGGTCTTGCCATGTAGTCCAGGCCAGTCTGGACTTCACTTGCCCAGGCAGGCCTCGAACTCCTGGCGATACTCCTAACTTAGCCTCTGGAGTGCTGGGGTGACAGACGAGTGCCACCACGCCTGGTTTCCGTATGGGTACCTTTTGCAGCATCATAACGTCAAAAACTTGTAAGTCCCACCAAGTGTGGGCTCTCTCTGTACCTTGTGTAGCGTCTGACTCACTCTGCTGGCCTGTGATCTCCTTAAAGACACTGGGCCACACTCAAGTACTGGCAAAATGGGTGAATTAATGTAAGCAAAAACTTCTCAATGGCTGCAGGTTCTGCCTGTCATCATGACTGTCACAAATATGGGGCTTCTGACTCTCGCCCTAAAAATAACTCTTGAGGATTTCAAAGCTGCCCCTTTTTCTCTCTGTGCTAGCGTGGAGGTATCCAGATAGAAAGCACTTTACCAAAAATCTGAGTTGCGGCTTGCCACCACCTAACCTAACCTTCACTTCCTGAGATAATAAGGCCGAAATCCCATGGGGACTTGAAGAAAGGTCAGCAAGCTTAAAAAGAGATAGAGCTCAGCGGAATCTGGAACTAGAAACTCCTATTTGCCTTTGCGCGCGTCTCCCGCTATCTACCATAACCTTTCTGTTTTTCCTTTCTGTGGGAATGCCTGTTTATTTTCCATGAGTCAGCCCACATCCCTTCCCTTCAGTTCAGCAGCCCTCCTTGTTCCCTCGTGCATATTCTGCTCACCACTATGGTTACATTTACCTTGCTGCTTTGGAATTTGGGGGTTTTGCTCCTCTTAGTGGACTGTGAGCTTCCTATGAGCAAAGGCTGGGGCAATACAACCAAAATGGAGTTTAGGGAACCTCTTATGAAGAGAGAGTAAATAAATAAAAGTCCTAGAACACAGAACCTGGATCTGCCTCCATTCTAGTTGCCATATTCCAAGCAACAAGCCTTCCTGGTGTATTCATCTCTCATTCAATTCCAGCACCTGGGTACAATCCCAGGCAAAGAGGAAGGGCTCGGTAAATATTTGATGAAATATATTGCTCTGAGTTGATGCTGATTTACAATTCATGTCTTATGACTATCAGGTGCTTGCAACCACATATCTTTCTAACTACGTTATTTGATTTCTTTCTCACAATAAACCAGTGAGGCAGATGTTTCTGTTTACCAGAGGAGAAACTGAGGCTCAGATTAAGAGATTTATCTAAAGTCATTCAAGCTATGATTTGTAGACCACGTATCTGAAGTCTTAGCCATTTTTTGGCTAATTTTTTCCTTCCCTTCCTTTCGTCCTCCTCTACCTTCTTCCCTCCATTCACTTTCTCAGTTCTACATAATTCACCAAGTCTATGGTATGTTAGGCACTGTGTGTATAGCACTTGATGCCCAGAATGTTAATTCTTAAAACACCTCAGTGTACCATTAAGTATTTTCTACTGTCCTTGCTTTAGAATACAACCTATTACTTTTAAGTCCTTAAAGCTAAGAAGTGTGAATGTTTCCTCTATGTTAACAACAACTGCTTTGTTCTCAGTTGACTACTGTTTTCTAGTATATGCCTTTCTTTTTTTTTCTTTTTTTTTTTTTTGGTACTGGGGATCAAACTTGGGACCTTGCGCTTGTGAGGCACCCCTGAGCTAAATTGTGGCATAGTATATGCCTTTTTGATGGGACAAATATCAATTGATATGCAGTCACTGGAGCCAGAGAGCCACAACCATTCCTGCTAAAACCAACCTTGCTGGCAGAGGTGTCCCTTCAGTCTCTGATAGGATGATTTCCCTCTGGCTCATGAGGCTGATCTGCATGGGAAAAGAGTTCGATCTGCTGAGGAATATACCTGTGTCATGTCCTGAGGGAGATGCAGCTCATTTCAAATTAAACCTCCATAAAAATGGCTTCTGTGCTCCCAAGAGCCTTTACGACAGAAACACAGACATGTTATCCACTGAATGCCACTGGAAGCAGGATTTGGGATTTGGGTGACTGGGCCACCACACTTCCATATCTATGGAACTACACAGTCCCTATCAAAGCCATTGGTTTCCCATGAATCAGTGTTCTATAGACGAGAAATAAGATTCAGGGAAATTACTTACCCTGGGATGCACACCAGTTGGTCATTCACTTGAGCCCATAGCTGCAAACTGGAGCCACAGAGGTCCAACTTCCTTCAGGATTTTTTTTTTTTTTGGTACCGGGGATCGAACTCAGGACTTTGTGCTTGCCAGGCAGGTGCGGTGGCACTGAGCTAAATCCCTGGGAGGATTCCTAAATTACATTTGGCAGAAAGTGGAAAACAAGCCTTCAGTGGAGACTCGGATCTCTCTGGTTGTTTATTAGTGTGTGCCTAATTACTGTTCAAAGTCCACTATCATTCATATTCAAGGCTTTGAAATTATGACAAAGAAACTGTCTCAATAATATTAACATTTACTGATTACGTATTAGGTAGGCATCATGTTACATGCTTCATATACTTTATCTTATCTAAACAACCCCATGTAGAAGAGAGGGATGGAGAAAACGAGGGTTGCAAAGGAAAAATAATTTGTCCAAAGTGTCACATCCTGTAAGAGCAGAGCTGGGACTCAAGCCCAGATCTACCTGGCTCATCATTGTCATACATGTGTACAACTTCACTATAGTGTGGGGTTCTCTATTTTCCCAGAAAAGAAAAAAACCCAAAGCCATTTTCCCAGAACCAGTTCCCCCTTAGGTAACAAAGAAAGAGAGAAAGAGTCACTGGATCCAAGGCCTTGAGTTGAAATGTATGCATCTTATCAATTAAACCAGGACCTAATACTAAAGCATGAAGTTTTCATAAACAGGGAATTATGCACTAGCTATGCATAGTAGTGCTGTGCCATTTTCAGCAAGAGTCCCTCTCCTTCCAGAAAACACATTCATTCTCTCTATTTATACTACAATCTTTCCAAAGAAGGATTGGGGTGATTTATGTAACAAAGATCCAGATAATTTATTAGCCATTAGAACCTGACATGGTGAAAATGGAAAATATATGCTATTAACTGAATAAAGAATCTTGTATGAGATCACAAATTGACAAATCAGTATCTATGTCCTGAAAATGGGAAGTGTTAGGAAAAAGAGGAAGGTAGGCAAACTCCACAGTAGAGGACAGGCTTTATTGGCATTAGACCAGAACAGTGGCTCTCTTAAAGCCAGAGAGTTTATGTGGGGTTTGGAGGGGATTGTAGCTCTTCTGAGTCAGGGTTGCTTTGTAATCTTTGACCACTGGGCTGTTGTGCTTACCTCTGTGTTTATCTTCTAGGGCTCATCGTTTTAAATCTTCAGGCTTAAATTAGCAACCTCCTCTCCCCACCCCTCTTCCACTTCCCTTTTGGACCAGTGACAGTGGATGGATTAGTACATGTCCGTGTCCCTTTTTCCCATGAACAAATTGGCTCAGGTTGAACAGCACCTGGGCTCCTTCTCAGAGAAATCTTGTATAGAAATGTCTCAAGGACCTGATGAAAATTTGGTTCTTTTTATGTCCCTCCTATAAAATACTAATGTAAAACCAAAATCCAAGGAAGGACAGCTATATCTCGAACTCTAGTTCATTTCCCAGTCTGCTCCTGATATTAGAAAAAAAGCTTCACTGCCCCTTGGGAAGCTGAGAACATGAGGTGTCGCTGGGCTTGGCACCTCTTGCACTCTGATAGCAGCGAAGGCCGTTGGGTTTCAAATCCACATGGGCATTTCTCGCCGGCCCTGCGGAGAGATTTCTTACACTTTGAATTTGGTTTGGTTTTTTTTTTTGTTTTGTTTTGTTTTTTGTACTGGGGATCAAACTTGGGACCTTGCACTTGCAAGGCAGGCAACGGAACCACTGAGCTAAATCCCCGGCCCTTGCAGAGAGATTTCTTGACCACCACAAGCAAGGAAGGATATGATAGGAGACCAGTGGACATAACTCCTTTAGAACAAAGGAAATTAACTTTTGATACCCATGCATTGATTCGGGATTTAGAAACTCATGGATTTGACAAAGCACAAGCAGAAACAATTGTATCAGCATTAACCACTTTATCTAATGTCAGCCTGGATACTATCTATAAGGAGATGGTCACTCAGGTGCAACAGGAAATAACAGTTCAACAGCTAATGGCTCATTTGGATTCTATCAGGAAAGATATGGTCATCCTAGAAAAAAGTGAATTTGCAAATCTGAGAGCAGAGAATGACAAAATGAAAATTGAATTAGATCAAGTTAAACAACAACTGATACATGAAATCAGCTGAATCAGAGCAGATAATAAACTGGACATCAACCTAGAACGAAGCAGAGTAACAGATATGTTTATAGATCAAGAAA